CACACTATATTATTGCAAATGTTGCATCATTATGTACCTTAAAAATGAAAACTTTCCCACAACACTCTGTGGCAGTGTTGGAATGTTAATGAGAACTTCACTGAAATTTTAGGTTAAATTACTCTTGAGGTTGAAGTGCATTGACTTCATATGGTAGCCAGCATTGTATAACTTGTACTTGTGTTATGTTTTCCTTTTACAGAGTTTAGAGTCATTATATCCAAAGATACTTTCAAATTGCCTTAGAATAACTGCAATTAAGTAAAACTAACTCATCAGTATAATTTTCTTTTTAACCTTAAAGTAGTTTACTGGAGGGTGAGTTGTCTAAGTGCTTATTCAGTATTTTTAAAGTTTTGTCTCTGAAGCACCTACATTATAATCCCTTAGAGGCTTATTAAAATGAAGGTTCCTGGCTCCCACTCTCCATCACCATGAATCAGAATCTAAGGAAAATCTTGGAATTCTCATTTAAAATAAGATCTCTAGGTAATTCCTATGCACTGTCCAGTTCAAGAACTTTAGATCTCTCACCCTGCACAAAACTCAGAGTGGATCAAAGATTTAAGCATTAGAACAAAGAACCTGTGCTTAATAGAAGAAAACATAGGCCCAAATCTACATCATGTCGTCGTACGAATTGACTTCTTTAATAAGACTCATAAAGTGCAAAAAGTAAAATCAAGAATCAATTAATGGGATGGAATAAAACTAAATAAGCTTCTTCACACAAAGGAAACAATCAACAATGTGAAAAGAGAGCCTACAGAATGAGAGAAAATTGTTGCCACCTGCACATTTTCAGGATATATACAGAACTCAAAAGACTTGGGCTGGGGTTGTGCTCAGTGGTAGAGTGCTTGTCTAGTATGTGTGAAGCACTGGGTTCTATCCTCAGTGCCATGTAAAAATAAATAAATAAATAAAATAAATGTATTGTATTCATCTACAACTAAAAAAAAAAAATAAAAAAAAAACCCTCAAAAAACTTAACACACACACACACACACACACAAACAAGAAAACAACCCTAGGGCTGGGGTTGTGGCTCAGTGGTAGAGTGCGTACCTTGCAGGTGGGAGGCCCTGGGTTCGATCCTCAGCACCACATAAAAATAAATAAATAAAATAAAGGTGTTGTGCCCAACTACAACTAAAAAATAAATCTATAAAAAAATCAACCCAAATAACCCAATCAATAAATGGTCTAAGGAACTGAACAGACATTTCATAGAAGACAGACAATTGGTCAACAAATACATGAAAAAATGTTCAATATCTCTAGCAATTAGAGAAATGCAAATTAAAACTACACTGAGATTTCATTTCACTCCAGCCAGAATGGCAATTATCAAGAATACAAGTAACAATAAATGTTGGTGAGGATGTGTGTGTGTGGGGGGGAAATGTACACTCATACATTGTTGGTGGGACTGCAAATTGGTGCAACCACTATGGAAAGCAGTATGGAGATTACTCAGAAAACATGGAATAGATCCACCATTTGACCCAGTTATCCCATTCCTTGGTTTATGCCCAAAGGACTTAAAGTCAGCATATTACGGTGATGTAGCCACATCAATGCTTATAGCAGTTCAATTCACAATAGCTAAACTATGGAACCAATCTAGCTAGCTTTCAACAGATGAATGGATAAAGAAAATGTGGTATACACACACAATGGAATATGGCTCAGCCATAAAGAATAATGAAATTATGGCATTTGCAGGTAAATGGATGGAACTGGAGAATATCATGCTAAGTCAAATAAGTGAATCCCAAAAAAACCAAAGGCTGAATGTTTTCTCTGATACGTGGGTGCTAATTCACAATAAATTGGGGGCTGTGGGAAAATAGAAGTACTTTGGATTAGACAAAGGGAAATGAAGGTAAGGTAGGGGGAATGAGAATAGGAAAGATAGCACAATGAATATTACTATCCTACATGCATATATGATTACATGACCAATGTAATTCTACATCATGTACAACCAGAAGAATGAAAAGTTATACTCCATATGTGTATAATATGTCAAAATACATTCTACTATCATGTATAACTAATTAGGAAAAATAAAAAAAAAGAACTTTAGATCATTCAAATTGTATAGTAACTGGATATAATCTGGTTTTGACAGATTAGTTGCTGTCTATTTTATTCAGTGTGATTTAACTTCCAGCCTATAAAGGTTTGGTGTTTATTTGCACTTTAGATAGTACTCTGAACATTTATGAAGTATCTTGAAAACCAGAAATTTCCACAAGTAATACTTGTGGGTCTTACTAAGTTGCTTAGGTCCTCCCTAAGTTATTGAGACTGGCTTTGAATTCGTGATCCTCCTGCCTCAGACTTCTGAGCCACTGGGATTATAGGTGTGCACCACCACACCTGGCACACATTTTCTTTATACAGTAATCTGTTGAAGGGCACCTAGGTTTGTTCCATAGCTTGGCTATTGTGAATTGTGCTGTTACAAATGTTGATGTGGCTGTATCATTGTAGCATGCTGATTATAAATCTTTTGGAAATACTGAGGAGTTCAGTAGCTGGGTCATAGGGTGGTTTGGTATTAATTTTATTGCGGAATATACTGATTTACAGATTGATTATGCTAATTTTCATCCCCACCAAAAAGGTATTAGTGTATATTATCCCCCACATCCTCACTCCATTTATTTATTGTTACCTGTATTCTTGATAATTGCCATTCTGACTGGAGTGAGATGAAATCTCAATGTAGTTTTAAATAAGGCATTCATATCCAGAATATACAAAGAACTCTAAAAACTTAATACCAAATAAATAAATAAATATATAAAGCAGTCAATAAATGGGCAAAAGAACTAAACAGACACTTCTCAAAAGAAATACAAATGGTCAACAAATATACAAAAAAAAGTTCAGGGCTGGGGTTGTGGTTCAGTGGCAGAGCACTTGCCTGGAATATGTGAGGCAATGGGTTTGATCCTCAGCATCACATAAAAATAAATAAACAAAATAAAGATATTGTGCCAATGTATAACTAAAAAAACATATTTAAAATATGTTCATAACATCGGCTCATTCTTTTATGAGTTTCAGGGTTGTGTTTATCTCACAATGACCTAAAATATTGATTTTATTGTTATTCAAACATTTTATTTTGTGCTCAAATTACAGTTTAAAGAAAAAAGATTCCAGAGTATAAACCTTATCTCTATCTACAATATAGATATTAACACCTCATTAGAGGTACCTTCTAGAACTGAAGGTAATAGGAGTCAAAAACAGTAACCTTCAAATAACATCAGAAATAAGTTCTTTAAAAAATGTTTGATTTTTCACTGCAAATGTACACTTTTAAAAGCTGAAATATTTTAGATTTCTGCTGTATAAATATATACACACATATATACATATACACGGATATGTAAAAATAACACATTAAATTAGGAAAAAACACTAGCAATTAAAAAACTAGGATTAAACAATTTCAGTGTTTGGTTTTTGGTTGCAGTGAAGTTTTAAGAGAACTTTAAAATGTTCTTAATAGAAAACCTTGTTTCATGAAAATAACTCAAAGGCATTTTCAGCTCTCTAATAACTATAATAATAGACCAAAAGAATCATAGAACTGGATGAGACTATTTGCAAATTTACAAATAAGTAAACTGAGGCCAACCAATTTAAATGGCTTTTCTTAAGATCCTACAGGGTTTTAGACAGAGCTGTGGCTAGCTTTAAATCTGTATGTTTCTACACACATAAGTATAATGGAAAAAAACTTGGGTGAGAAAAGGTATTGATATAATAATACAAGATGCAAGAATGGGGTGCATGGTTGGTTTAAAAGAAAAGTTTATATCTGTTTATATATAATGATTCTTTTTTGGAGAATTAACACAAACTCAAATATTATCTTACATAAATAAAAACTTCACATAAGCCTCAAATCTAATTTTTATGTATTTTCAACAATTACCCCTAACAATATGTTATCAAAAATAGTTGATTATTGAAATAAACAGAACTAATTATACACAATTCAGCCCTTACCAATTTGCATGCAAATTCTTGGGCAGCAATGCTTAACAAAGAAAAAAAAGTAAATGTATTTGAAAAGATAACTGGTGAAATACCAACAAGCTAAATTATAAATCATCTAAATGGCTTTAGAAAAATAAGATTTGGTTATAGTTTATATTCTTCATAGAATAATCTTGTTAATATTACAAAATAAGAATTTCAAATCTGAAATCCTCTTTTTAATATGAATGAGAATAGTATAGTTTCAGCAAAGAAATAAAAATGTTCATCTGAGAGAACATGAACTCAAATTTTCCTTTGAGTTTTATCAGCTTACTCAAGGATTTAAATGTGTATGTATATCTTATTTGTACCCCAAATTAGAAACTTTGGTGATCTACTGTGGTCCTCTGGTAGATTATGTAGTATTTCATAATTTACTAATCAACTTGTTAATGTGAAGATAGAATTAAAGAAGTATATTTGTGTTGCTTTGCAATTAATAACACATCTCTTTAAGATATTTTTTCTGATTATAATATGCTATTTTTCTAGGAAACTGCCATAGTAGCTATCCAATTTTGCAACAACCTGATATAGGGACAGAGATTTTGAACTTCAAATTTGGACAGAAATATTGCTAGAACATAAACTAAATTTCCAGGTGAAGTTTTATTTGAATCTCCTCAAATTTTAAAATAGATTTTATTTCCCATGCAATATAAAAAGAGAAATTATACCCATGTATAGTATTGAAATCTTTGCCTGTGGTTTTCCTTCAATGAATATTTAAGGTTTTCCCTCTCTCACATTTATGTAGCACTAAAATGGAATTGCCTTTTAAAAGTTATAATAGCTTAAACTGAAAACCTAGTTTCCATTTGATAAACAACCCATATGGAAAAATCATCTTGGCTCATTTAGTAAGTACATATAACCCCCCAAATATGAATAAAACACATCAAATTCATTAAAAATGAAACGAGACCAAAAAAGTCATTGCATTTTATCTTCTTTAATAATACACTCAAAATTGTAACACAAGAAGGATTCACTATTTTACTTAACATTTAAACACAGTTATGAAGAATAGAAGAGTGAACACATTTATAAACAAACTGCAGTATCTCTTTAAGTTCTTAGGCTGCCCAACAATTTAAAATGTATAGCATATGAAGTAATGACTATAGGGCTACAAGAAAATCCTACAAGTTAATAGCTTAACTACATTCAGAATCATTTTGATATAGAATAATCTTTAATCTCATTTCATGGTTGTTTTAGCTCATCTAACAAACCATATAGATGTCAACCACAGGGCCTTGCAAATGCAGAGTGGCCATTTACATTTAACATGAAGTATAAGACAACCAGAATGAAAACAATTCCTTAGTTACTGTTTTCTACTTTTAACATGAGCACTTAAGATGTTAATATGAAATGAAATTTCACTATCTAAACTCACATTACATATTTGGAACTACAAAAATGAATACAGCAAGAATATAGACATACTGCAGCCTCTGGATTTAACATCATACACTGGCCAAAATATTTAGAAATCCAAAGCATATAAAAATCACAGTATAGTATGGAAAAACTTGAAGACAATTTAATTTGGCTCATTCATTTTACAGCTGACCAAACTTTTGAGACCTGGGGCAATAAGACTGTAACAATCCACATGTGCTTTTGCAAATGATTGAAATTACTTTGGTTGTGAGAATGCAAGTTGACCACTTTAAGAGAATGAGAATTTAATCTTCAAATTGGCAATTCAAAATCTGTCATTACATGTGAATAAAATTGGAAGGATGCTAAATCTCTAGGAAAAGTTACTCTTGTAAGTCTGGATGCCTTATACTGAACCTTTAGAATAAAAGTACACTTCACAAATGGAACACTGAACATAAATTATGACAAGTCAAGATAATAGTCATATAGTAAGGTAATTTTTTGATACATAAGAATTGTTTTGATAACCTTTTTCAATAATGAATCTAGTATTAGTGCATTAGCTCCAAATACAGGACAAACATAAGCCACTTAACTTCAGAGCTCAAGTAATATTCTTGCTGAAAACAGTTGCTAAAAATATCAACAAAATAATAGAATATCTTTAAGCAGTGTCCTCTTTATAACCTGTAATAATTCATTTGGCATTTTTAAGAGGTATTCTCTGGACTATAAATTTTCTGCAAATAGACTTCCACTTTGTTGTTACCCAAATTACAGATATCCAAGATACCAATGATATGTACTCTATCCAGTTCAGTTGCTGCTCTTATAATATCACCTAAAAGTAAAAAAAAAAAAAAACCAAAAAACAGATGGTAAGTATTGTAAAATAGTTAAATATTTACTTGCATTTAGAATCACATTACCTGATGATTTTTGTCTTACAATATGAACACTGTCCCCCATCTCCCTCCAATGCATCATATGCATTTACCAAATTTTTGTTATAGTAATCTAACTTCTACAGATAAAAGTGAGCACATCAAAGAGATACTACCAATAATTTCAAGATATGACTTTCCAAAGTCATATTTAATTTTCTTTTCTTTCTTTTTTAGGTGAAGCAACATAAAAGCACATATTTTCAAGGTCATTTATAATGTTCCAAATAAACAGCTTATATTAAACTTCAAAGAAATGCAAATTTAAGTTTTTCTATTTTGCAATTAAATTATCAATGTTTTTGTAACATTTATGAGCCATAAAGCAAAACAACATATATCTAACATATACTCTAATGACATATGCATATGCATATATGTGTATGAATACATAATTTAGGGTTCTTTTAAGTGTATTTCCTTTGAAGTGGCTTGTATCAACTAGGGCGTCTTTAGATACTCTCAAGCTTTACCAAAAATTGATCAGGTGAATGATATCACTGAAAATAGCAGAATAGGGAAATCCAGGGCTCTGTCTCTCCATTAAGCATCTTATAAGCTGGGAAAAATTCCAGAATCAACATTTGGCAAACTCTTAATCTAGACAAAAATTTAGAACCATCAGAGGCAATGATTAAGAAAGAAAGAAAGTGCTACACTATGGTAAGACTGTGCTATGATGTTTTAAATAGCCTGGCTATCATATTTCATACTCCAGATGATTAGTGACCATGAAGATGACAACTCACGCTCCTTGGTGGAGGTTGTTAGTACCAAAGAGAGCAATGTAGAACTTATTCTCAATTATGCAGCTGTGTGTTTTGACTCATCTGACAGTTCCCTCAAAGTCCAGGTGCAAGGACTTGCTTTCATTTTACCCAGAGTGGATCATTCTCTCACCTGGGGTGGCTTTCCCCACAACTGCTTTTGTTGAAAGCATACAAAGAAAAAATATTGAACAGTGAAATTCTGGGCAGGATAGAGGTTGAGAAAAGAGATAAATGGGAGAATAGATTTTTTAAAAGTGCCTTTGAACACTGGGGAATCAAGAAGACTTTACACATACTCAGGTCTTGATGCATGCTCAGAAAAGGCCTGAGAAGACTGATCATTTACCTCTAGCTGACCTTCAGGCTCTGAGCAAGCAGGAAGTGAAGGCTAAGGCAGAGTTCTAAATAGCCTTGGCTAAGTGTCGAAGAAGTGCTGTGGCACAGGGTCAATCTACAAAAACTAAAATATATTTTTCTTTATTTTCTTGGCCCTTGTTGTTTAAGGAAACTCAGTCAAAACATTAGTCCACTACTACTAAGCAAATAGATTATACGAGTTTAGTGGCTACAAATGACAGACTTTTTTAAATATGAGGAAACAAAAAACTTAGAGGTTAAGTAACAAACTCACATGATTCTAATCCAGATAGTAAAGCTTCAAGGTATAAGCTTTCAGCCTTTTATAGTAGAGCTATATCTCTATAAATTTGCACTAAAATTTGGGAGTGCATCTAGTGCACTCTGAAAACCTCTAAAGGGAATACTATTTGGGACCCTTTTATGAAAAAAAATACTATCAGAGAACCAACAGAGGCAATGATTAAGAAAGAAAGAGGGATTTGAGAGGGATCTATGTATGCTCAGGATTCATTAACTTCACAGTAAACCCATTTTAGACATATAAAATATCTAATGAATGATTTAAAATTGTATAAGCTAAATAAAACACATGAATGTTATAACAAATGCTAGTACTATATAATTTTGTTCTTTTTTGAGTGGGATGGACTTTCATCCAGGTAACTGGAAAGATTTCAAGACCTTCAGCTTTGATTTTAATGTCAATAACCCAAACCTTACTAATTCTAATTGCTATAATATATTGACTTTTATAAACAATGATTTACATACCACCCACTTTGCCAATTATGTAATACTTCAAGCAAAAGACAACTTCTCTATGTCTCAATTTGCTTCTTTAGAGCAGTGTTTTTAGGGTTAAATACCATGAAGCATTTTAGAATGGTGGCTAACCACATAGAAAGCACTCAAATAATTGCAGCAATAATTTTTACTTAAGCAAAACTATTGTGAAATAAAGATATCATTTATATGACATAAATATTTTAATCAAATGACTACAAATTTTATCTACAAAATGAACTTTTGTACATTTTACTTGAAATTGATAGTATAACAAGAATTACACATTTTAGTAACATCAGACATATATAAAGTGAGACAAAGAAAGCTCTATGTATTCTCGCTTTTTTGCTATTATTGGTTACAGGATAAGACAATGTGTCCCGGCATCCCTTGAAACTAGGTTGATATCATGTAATTGGGTTCTGGAAAATTAGAAAATGAGTAGGAGTGATGTGTCACTTACATAGGTCAAAAAATAAGTGAGTTTATCCATCTCTTTCTTTCTTTGCCTTGACAACCTTAGAAGTCATCTGTTCTTGCTAAGGCAGCAACAAGAGGGAAGTTAACACAATAAAAAGTTTCTTGCTTCAGTGTGATACATGCTTCCCTGTTGGATTGGTGAATAAGTACTGGGAAGAGAGCTGGTGACTCACTGTATCACACTGAAGCAAGAAAGAAACTTTTATTGTGTTATATCACTGAGACTTTAGAGTTGCTTTGTAACTAACTGCAACACAGTCCAACCTATCTTGTAATAAAGTGTGGTATTCCTTTGCTAAAAACAGGATGGGAAACCCTGATTAGCTAGAGAATAAAAGCGTTTTCATGAATGTGTAAAAACCCTTCTGCCTGTGCTATACTTCTGAAATGTTTATCAATAGATGTGTCAACTCAACGCTTCCAAGGGGGTGGAAGTCATTCATATTCTTGTACTTCATAATTAAATATGATGCCAAGAAGGAATTCATATCAGCAAGCCATATTCAAAAAGTGACTTGGGATAAATGACTGTCCATTTTAAAAATAAAATATAAAATTGGATCCTTATGTCACCATCTCCACAAAATTCCAAATTAATTAAAATTTCAAGTTGTCAAAATGAAGTCACATATATAATAATGCCTCCACTAAAAAATTGTAAAAATGGGCAAAGGAATTGAATAGAAATTTCTCCAAATAAGTTATACACATGGCCCATAAACACATGAAAAGATACTCAACATCTATAGTAATTAGGTAAATGCAAATCATAACCACAGTGAGATACCAACTCACACCCATGTTGGTGGCTGTTATCAAAATGAAATATAACAGCTTGAAAGTAACAAGGGCTGAGTGAGGATGCCAAGAATCTGGAATCATCATGGATTGCTGGTGGGATAGTGAAATAGTGAAGATGCTGTGAAAAACAGTTTGTCTATTCCTCAAAAAGTTAAATGTAGGATTACCATATGATCTATCAGTTCCACTCCTGGGTTTATAGCAAAAAAAAAAAAAGTTGAAAGCAGAGACTCAGATACTTGTAGATCAATGTTCATAGAAGAATTATTCACAATAGCCAAAATACAGAAATAAACCAAATTTACATTAACAGAAAAATGTATAAAGGAAATGTAAAATATAATACAAAGAAATATTATTTAGCCATATAAAGGAATGACATATATTACAATATGAATGAATATTGATGATGCTATACTAAATAAAATAAGTGAGACACAACACAATATTCCATGATTCAATCTGCATGAAATAACTAAAATAGACAAATTCATAGAGAAAGTGGAATAGTAGTTACCAGGGGCTGAGGAGGGGGGATTGGGATGTTACTAATTAATGGGTACAGTATTTCTGTTTGGGATGATAAAAAATTCTGGAAATGGATACTACTGATGGTTGCACCACATTGTCAATGTACTTAATATAATTGAAAAGACATTTAAAAATGGCTAAAATGGCAAATTTTGTGTTGTCTATTTGATCACAATTAAAAATATATAAGCAAAAATAACAATGTTATAAAAGTACTAAGGAAAAGTATAGTGGATTTTTTTTTAGAGAGAGAGCGAGCGAGAGAGAGAAATTTTAGTATTTATTATTTTATTATTATTATTATTATTATTTTAGTTTTTGGCGGACACAACATCTTTGTTTTGTATGTGGTGCTGAGGATCAAACCCAGGCCGCATGCATGCCAGGCGAGCGCACTACCGCTTGAGCCACATCCCCAGCCCCAGTATAGTGAATTTTTAAAAAGTGTCTTGAGCTGGGTGATGTCTTTTTGAGTATGAAAAGGAGCAGCCACAAAATAAAAGATGATGTACTTGAGTACACAGAAACAAAATTACTTAAAATACCTAAGAAAACTGCTATTGAATAAATGTCAAACTAGGTAAATATATTTTTAGCACATGAAAAAGGGTTAATTTTAATATAAAAAGATAAAAATTAATAAGAAAAAGAACATTCTTATAGCTAAATGGAAAAAATAAGACTAGCACTGAAATTTCTAGAAAGTCCTTGGCAATAAAATTTAAGTGACTAAAAATCATATGAAGATTTTTCCAGTTCAGAAATAATGAAGAAATTCAAATCAAAATAGTAATACATTAGTTTTCCAGCAGTCTGCCAAAGATTAATAAAAATAATAATACCTAGTTTTTTCAAGGGTGTGAATAAAGTGGAACTCTTGACTTTGTCTCTAGTGTAAATTAGTATACATTAGTTCTCTTATAGAGAAGCATTTGAAAACATCTACCAAAATTTTAAATGAACACATATTTTGAGTTAGTGACTTCTAAGAATTCTTCTTACAGATATAGTAGTATATCAAGATTACACACACACACACACACACACACACACACAAATACATAAGGATACCCATTGCAGTACTATTTGCTAATTGCCCGCCCCCCTCAGAAAAATAAAATACTTGGGGCTGGGGCTGTAGCTCAGTGGCAGAGCACTTGCCTACCACATGTGAGGCACTAGATTCAATCCTCAGCACCACATAAAAAATAAATAAAATAAAGTTATAAAAATGTTTTTTCCTAAAAAAAAAACATGAAACAATCTAACTCTCCATTAGTTGGCAACTGGGGAAGTAAATTTTGGTATATCCACACAGTGAAATACTTTGTAGTTATTAAAAAGAATGAGGTATCTCTGTATATACTAACATGAAAAATGTCCAAGGTAAACTGGTAAACTGTCAAAATAAAAAAGATGGTTACAGAATCACACAGTTATATAATTCCATTTGTGGGTATTTTGAGAGACAGAGGATGAGTAAGAATATATATTGCTTTACACAAAAATAATTTCTTCTTTTTTTTTTAAAAAAAAAAATTTCTTTAAGGAATAAAAAATTCTGGTTATCTCTAGAGAATAGGTGAGTGGGTTGGTGGAAGGTGCTGGATCTGGGAAGGGAAGGAGGGGAACTTGTACTTTTATTCAACACCTTTCTGATATTTGGGCTCTTTGCAATTCCAGATTTCTTAGTTTATACCCTAACCTGTAGTTTAAATATTTCTGTACTAATTTTTGTTCCTTTGTTCCTATTTCAATTTTAATTATTAACATGTGTAGCTTTCGTAATAAAAATGTTAGTTTATTAAAACTGTTTAAAGGATGAATCCATGTCTCACTATATCACACCACTCTATTTTTATCTTTTAGTTAGAATCATGAAAGGAATGGAAAAGTTTGGATCAGACAGATTTTGGTTCAAATTGTGACTGTTACTCATGTTGGTGAATATCTCTGATTCTCAGTCTAGTTCTCTATAAATAGGAAATATTAATGTGCACTCTGCAGGGTTATTAGTAAAATTAATTTAAATGTATAAAATGTACAGGCACAATGATTACCACAGAGTTAAATGGACACTATTATTATTAGTGCCAAAGCATGAAAAACATGGCATTACACTCAAGATGAGTTCCTTTGCTTTTGGTTACCATTTTATTTTATTCCCTAGTGGTTCTTGTCCTTCATATCCAAATATTAACTACTTTGATAGACTTTTCATGTGACCATATTAGTGACTACTGTATTAATATTGGCACTAACAATAAGCATATAACTGAGAACTCTGACCTGATATTTTGTATTGTTGATGGAATATACATATAGCAGAAGATATGTGACAGAAATGAATATTGAAAGGAACAAAAATTAGTACAGAAATATTTAAACTACAGGTTAGGGCATAAATTAAGAAATCTAGAATTGCAAAGAGCCCAAGGAGCTGTAATATAAAAAGAAATACTGCAAGTCAACCAATATATCATCTCTAAAATGGGCTGTGGGAAAATATAAAACCTCATTTATTATGAAAGTAGACACTTGTGTTCAGTTTGCATAACCATTACTGTCAAAAGTTACTTCATTGGGTGCAGTTCATAAAAGATTCATTCAAAAACAACATACAGTCAAGAGCTTTGTCATCTTAGAAAGACCTACCACAAAATCCCAGGAAAATAAAGCCTTTCTTAAATGCTCTTTTAAATGTATTATCTTTTAAATGTAAGCTCAGTAAAAACTGCCAGAATTTCACTCTATGCTTTGGAAATATAAATGAAAACAGACAATAAACAGGATAATTACCATTTGACAGATAATTTAACAAGTTTAAAGAAATAAAGTTTGATATATTATTTAGTAGCCTAAACAAATTTTTGGTGGAAGAGTTTCACTATTGGGACCTCATACACTCCTAGCCGTCCTCAAGGAATTTATTGTTTAGCACTTGAATAACTAAACATTTATAAGAGAGAAATTTTACTATATTATACCTTGGAGATATTGTGATTTCAGACAATTATAAGGTAAAAAGACAAATTGTCTGGCCTGAGTTAAAAGAAGAGAGTATCTCCACAGAATGGAGTCCTAATTAGAATAAGATAAAATCTATGCTTGTATAATTTTATCAGAATGGATTCTACTGTCATGTATAACTAAAGAGAACTAATAAAAAATAAAAAATAAAAAGACTAGAACTGCACAGTTCCACATGTATGTCATTTATATCTGAGGAAATAATTACATATCAAATTATAAGAACATTTCTTAATGCCTGCCCAGAATAGAAACAAGTTGCTCAATTTATTTAAAAGATACAACCTCATTTTATAAGTCTTAGGGCACATTTACCAAATAAACCTTTAGTTAAACTACATCAAGTTTTAAGTCTAGAGTTGCTTACATAATTAAATACTGTCAATGGGAAAAGGTTAGAATTGTTTATGATTTTTTTTCCTGAGTAAAAGGAACACAGATTTTCTTACTTGCAAGTGCTCTGGGGCCTGGAAATCGGTCACTGACAGTGACTTCTGGAGGATATACACAGCTGTAATTCATGCAGGTCAACAATGTGTCTATTTGAGATGTTCGGACATCTTCTGGACAATACATGGGTAGGAATGCAACATCAATTGCAATCTCATGGTTCAGACCTGTTGGAGAAAATTACATATTATTAAAAGTTTGATGGGTTAGTTTACGGTGCTAATAAGGCCAAATTTGCTGTATTGTAAATCTTATTTTGTATTTGTTCTTTTTAGATACACATGACAGTAGAGAGTATTTTGACATATTATACATACATGCAGTATAACTTATTCTAATCAGGATCCCATTCTTGTGGTTGTATATGATGTGGAGTTTTACTGATTACATGATGTACATGATGGTGAATTTATATATAAACATAGGAAAGTTATGTCCAATTCATTCCACTGTCTTTTCTATTCCTATCTTGGTTTGATCTTTTTTATGACAATATCTTTATTTTATTTTTATGTGATGCTGAGGATCGAACCCAATGCCTCATACATGGTAAGCGAGTGCTTTACCTCTGAGCCACAACCCTAGCCCCTGGTTTGATTTTAATGTGCTGAATTGCTATAGGTTGAAAAAGTAGGTACTTCAGTGCAACCTATCACCACTTCTAGAAATAACAATTAAAAATGTTTTCCCTACTGATATAAAATTAATGTTTTATATTCCAGAGAATAGCCTTGTCACATAAATGAAGACATAGAGAGTGCTTCCTTGATCATTCATGACAGGTAGGAGAATTAAGAAGAGAGGACTCTTAAGTTTTGATTGACTCATAAGATTTCATGGGCAACTAAATCAGTGTTATTGGAGCAAATGTTAACATTTGTAAGTCCAATCAAGCTTTTAAGAGATATCTTCTTTAAGGTAAGAAACAATTCTTAATATTGGAAAAGAATTACTAACAGATTCTAAATTTTGTATCTCTGAAAAAGCACTAAAGTCTTTTTAAAAAATCTTTATTTATTTATTTATTTATTTATTTAATGTGATGCTGAGGATCGAACCGAGGGCCTCACATGTACTAGGTGTACTACCACTGAGCCACAATCCCAGCCCAAAAAGCACTAAAGTTTTAATTTGACACTTCATCTAGATATATTCTCCTTAAAGTATGTGATCATGAATGGTAAACAATGGGCTAAAGTTTTAGTGATTACTGTCTATTGATTTGAGGAGAGAGATAGCAAAACAAGAATTTTAAGACAAGAACCAGTGCTTCTGTGATACATTTGTGATATTGACAAAGTATCCAACTGCTTGTTGAGAGCCATTAAAACTATGGAGAGATTAACAGTTCTTTCAAAGTTTACTATAACAATTCACCCTTTACCAGTCAGAGCAATGGACCAAAGTTGGGATCCAAATAACATTTCTGGTTTCAAGAATTTGGTCATCAAAATTGCTGGGTCCTCTAGAGATTAGCAAGATAATGCAGAGGACTAAGAAACCAGTAGGAAATAGTGTCGATATATGTTACACAATCTCTGTGCTAGGAGTATGTCAAGTGTACAGATCCGTAAGTCTAGATTGGTGATGGCAGTCTTAGCCAAGAACAGAGCCCTGGAAAAGGGGTCAGAAAATTAGAACCTGGGGGTCAAGTCTACTCTGTGCCTGGTTTTGTATACACCATGAGGTAAAGTTTGGCTTTTTCATTCTTAACAGTTAAAAAAAAATAAAGGAATGGGGGCTGGGGATGTGGCTCAAGCGGTAGCGCGCTCGCCTGGCATGTATGCAGCCCGGGTTCGATCCTCAGCACCACATACAAAGATGTTGTGTCCCCCGAAAACTAAAATATAAATATTAAAAAATTCTCTCATTCTCTCTCTCTCTCTCCCCCCCTTTTTAAAAAAAACAAAGGAACAATATTTTGTGATGGACAAAAATATGAAATTCAAAGTGCAGTGGGCATAGACTTTTATTTAAACACAGCCATGCACACATTCATTTATATATCATTTGTTTTTATTTGTTTTTTATGTGGTGCTGAGGATTGAACCCAGGGCCTCATACATGCAAGGCAAGCACTTTACCACTGAGCTACAGCCTCAGCCCGTCATTTATATATCATTGATAGCTGCTTTCTCATGAAAACAGCACAGCTAAGTTACTGCAACAGAAATTGTATAGCCTGCAAAGCCTCAAACCTGTTTGTCCTTTGTCCTTTACAGAAGTTTGTACAGGATATACTTAAAGTCATCTTTTAGTTTTAGGATTCTATCTTTAAACAAACAGTCCATTCATAAAGATTTAATCCTTTTTCATGTGTTCATTTTTTATTTCCACACTTGAAATACTTTCCTAAACTGACAAATTTACCACTCTTACATCTGATAATCAGCTCTCATTTTAACCAGTATAAGAGAATGTCTAAATTTCAAATACTAGTTAGAGAATAGTGGTTTTCTTTTTATTCTTTTTTTTTTGAGAGAGAGAGAGAGAGAGGAGAGAGAGAGAGAGAGAGAGAGAGAGAGAGAGAAAGAGAGAGAAAGAGAGAGAGAGAGAATTTTTTAATATTTATTTTTTAGTTTTCGATGGTCACAACATCTTTATTTTATTTGTATGTGGTGCTGAGGATCAAACCCAGCGCCTCGCGCATGCCAGGCAAGCGTGCTACCGCTTGAGCCACATCCCCAGCCCAGAGAATAGTGGTTTTCAACCTTTATTCTACTCCTGCATGCCTGATGATCAGATGCATCCTTGCTAGTGGCTTTCTCTCTGTGACAATGTCTGCCTCAAGAAGAGAAGACTGAATGTGCTTCTCTAGCATATCTAAGAATTCCAAGGAGTACGGATAAGTTTGATAATGTACCTCCTTCACTAACATTATATGAGCATCATTAGATCCAGTACTACTTATCTTAGTTGCATATATTTTATATTAAGTTATGTCATTAGAAAGCAGAGTGCATGATTACATAATAATAAAGTGAAAATAAACACCATTATAGAAGTTCCTTATTATGATATGAGTAATGACTGTATAAGTTTTATGTAGGAATCAACTATCATTTAGTTTCAAAAAAATATTTATTTCTCTCTTTTTTTTTTAGTTTTAGTTGGACACAATATGTTTACTTTACTTATTTATTTATTTTTATGTGGTGCTGAGGATATAACCCAGGGTCTTGCACGTGCTAGGTGAGTGCTCTACCACTGACCCACCCGCCCCAGCCCCATTTCCACACCTTGAAAGACAAAGCTATAGTTGATGAAATCGACTCATTTGTTATTGTGTGCTATTTATATAATAATTTCATACAGTATATTCAGACTTGAATTTTGTTTGAAAGAAAAAAAAAAGAATTCCTCTATTTGAATGTTTTCTCTGCAACAGAGGATGTTTAGATACTTCAGGAGTACTATTTTTCATCATGATCTGGCTTCAACCTAGCCAGATATTAAGACTAGAAATTATCCAACTTTCTTTAAGTTTTAACATTGAATATGTAATCAGAAGCAAAACAAACAAACAAAAAAACTCTTTCCCCCTTCCTGCAAGAAAGCTCAGGGAAAATTACTGCTGAACAGTAGTAATTTAATTATCTACAAGGACCTACTAACACCTTCCTTTTCTGCTTCCTTTAAAATGTTCTGTATTGTTTTATTCATAAATGGATTATTTTTCACTTTATTTTAACTCTGCAAACCATCCTTGGAAACAGGCAGGGAATATATATATATATATAATGCTTCTAACATGAATTAGAGCTGGCAAGCAGAATAAACTTGTCTTCTATATTTGATTCTTGCTTCCAGCTGACTCATAGCCAAAGCTACAAAAAGTTTACAATTAGATGTAAGATAGCTGAGCTGTCTTAGTCAATCTGTTTTAATGGATTGGTACCATGTTAAGAGGAAGAAATCATTCAATTTCTATGTTTTGAGATGAACTCACTGTTTCCATGGTTACTTTTCTTGATGTATGGGAAATCTTGCTACAGTTTTTGCTTCCCAGATATTAAACTAAGATTGATAAACTATCTGAAGAGATCAAGTAATATAGTCTAGTGGAGAATATTTGAACCTTAGATCTGTAGAAGTCAGTGGAAATTCATCCTTTTCATAGATTATACATATATTTATCCACGTGCATATATATATTTATGTTTGAGGAGTTAGGGAAGAAGGGATAGGGGAGAATAAAGGGGAAAATTGTCTTGATAAAAATCAGGGCAGTTCGTTCCAGAACTACAGATGTAAAAATCCATTAACTTTATTTTTTCCAGGCATTAAATTAATGTGCTCATGATTCTTCCTCATTGCTTCCTTTTAAGGCAGCAAGATCTAGTGCTAAGATCTTATGAAACACAAAATTCTTTCCTTGACTCCGAGAATCATTTTGGCAAAGGTTTTATTTTAGAATTATCTTTGTGTATATTTTTCTTTTATTAGAAACAAACAAGTAAATCTAAATTTAAAATTTTCACTTTAAATGTTTTAAGTTCTATAGCTAGGTATCTCTCAGTTTTGAACAAGATGGGGAATCAGTTTATTTCCCCTTATCAGACAAAGTTAGTTTTTTCAATAATTTCTTTCTGTTCAACCTGAGTTACTTGAGAATTTTGTTTCCCCGCCCCCAGAGGCTAAATAGACCTATTTTTTTAATATTTATTTTTTAGTTGTAGTTGGATACAATGTCTTTATTTTATTTCTTTATTTTTATGTGGTGCTGAGGATCGAACCCAGGGCCTCGCACATGCTAGCCAAGTGCTCTACTGCTGAGCCACAACCCCACCCACTAAATAGACCTATTTTCATAGAGGCTTACCTTGATTATTACTACTTCTCTTTAACTTACACTTTACCCTTCAACGCTTCATATGGACTGAGAAAGAAGCATAGTATATAGACAACAAAGCAGTGGCTAAGAAATAATAGAACCAGTCTTAGAAGTACAGTAGTCAGATAGTTAGGGGTGAAGAAAAGTTCCTTTAATTTCAATTCTTCTCTTCTCAAATACTTTCCAAGGATTTGTCAATGCTGAAAAGCCCAAAATTAGAGCTTCATTTATTGCAGAATTAGTGCTCTATTCCTTTATTTTTAGCCAAATGGAAGCTCCTTGTGAGCTTAATTTTCATGAGCATGTGTGAAGGGGGCTTAATTTTTTTAAAGAAAAATAGTATCGATATTTAAACTATGACATTAAAAATAATTGAAGAAAAGAATGGGTGACTTACCTAGGATGGTTACTTCAAAATGTCCAAGGCTTCGAGCACTCATAAAGTCATCAAGTTTTGGGGGTTTTCCTTCTGGTGGTACATATTTTGCAGGCTGAGAATTGTACTGCTGAGTAAGAAATTTTCTGTGTTCTAAAATAAATTTCCGTGGAATACTTTCAGGATACACATGGCTGTAATGTAGGTGGTCTATTAAGCCAAAACTTTTCTCTCTCCACATTTGGCTCTCCCACCTATCGCTTATGGTTTTTCTGCCCTTGCCTAATGTACTAGCACTTGTACTTTCTTGACCTGTTGAAGACACAACGAAACAAATGCATCTGACTTATAAGCTAGTTAAAACAAGGCATTCACTATGAAAAAAGTATAGATTAATCAGGACTAGATGAGAAATTTGAAAATCAGTCACTTAAAACGCAAAATGAATATCCAAATGATAACTCTTATCAAAGCAAGGAAAGAACTAGATTCACTGATTCCAATAGATTAAAAGCAATATTTTTTTTTCTGTATTGTCAAAGTTATCGATATTTGTAATTATCTTTTTATTTTTTGGTACCAGGAATTAAACCCAGTTCCATTCAACCACTGAGCCACATCCCCAGCACTTTTTATATTTTACAGTAAAGGTCTTGATATGTTGTTTAGGGCCTTGATATGTTGCTGTGACTGGCTTTGAACTTGAGATCTTGCAGCCTCAGCCTCCTGAGCTGCTGTGATTACAGGCATGTACCACTACACCTAGCTATTATAATTAATTTCTTTATATTTTTTCCTGTATTTTCCAAGTGTTCTTAAATAAACATACATTCCTTTTATATTCAGTCATAAATTCAAGTGAAATCAAATTCATCAGAATGGCACCATTTAGAGGTCACTCATTATTGGTAGAATTTGAGCTTAAAATAAAATTTTGTTTATCTCTGCTAAAAGTGACCTGAACAAATATGATCTTTACTCTAGATACATCTCCTCTTAAGAAGGATCATTTATTATATATGACAATCCTTTTATATATAAATAACATAGAAAACAAAGAACGAACTAAATTGAGATGAAAGAAATTAATTCTTGCTTGTTAAATTTTTATTTTTTTTTTGTGATATTGGAGATTGAACCTAGGGTGCTCTATTGGTGAGATACATCTCCAGCCCTTTTAAAATTATTTTTCTAAGTGGCCCAGGCTGGACTGAAACTTGTGATTTTCCTGCCTCAGCCTCCTGAGTAGCTGGGATTATGGGCACATACCATTGCATCTAGCTTCCTCTTCAATTCTTGATGGTTCTAAATCAATTTAACTCTTATGTACAACTTACCTATAATGTTTAGTTTCAAAGGCAGAACATAATTTATCCCTTAAACATTATGACATTCATTCAACAAATAATAATAATAATAATAATAATAATAATAATAATTGTTTTGTACAAGGTATTGGACCTAGGGGTGCTTTGTCATTGAGCCACATCCTCAGGTCTTTTTTGTATTTTATTTAGAGACAAGTTCTCATTGATTTGCTTAGGGCCTCACTATGTTACTGAGGCTGGCTTTGAACTTGTGATCCTCCTGAGCCACTGGGATTTATAGGTGTGTGCCACCTTGCATGGCCCAAAAAATAATTATTGAGTACCTATTATGGGTCAGACATGATGTTAAGAAATTTGTACAAAAAATATTCTAATTGAATAATATACCCTAGGAACTGAAGACATATGGTAAAATCAGAAAAATGGATGTGGAACAAGACTCTCTAGTTAGTTCTACTAGCTAAGGAAAGCCAACAGCAACTCCCTTTCAGAGTTAAACGAGCTTGCTCTGTTGCTTCCTTATAGGCTGCCTATGTCCTGGTACTGATTCTTACCCTAGTATTAAGAAACATTATTGAGGCAGAAGGTGGTTTTAACGGCAAGATTTCAGTACAGTTAACATACCACTTCTGCTTTTCAGATTTTATTGCATATTTCAAGACTACTTGCTTGGTTTCTTAAGCCTAGACGAAGACTTACCAAAATTGGAGTACAAAGTAAAATATTATATTGAGTTATAAGGAAAGATTAAGAAATTTGAACATATATTTCTTACCAAGAATCTAAAACACTGCAATATTACAAAAGAGTTTTTTAAACACAAAATTCAGTTGATGAACATACTTAATTGACTTCCAATAATAATGCTTGACAACAAACGGGAAAGCAATCCTACATGGAAAAGAAAGGAATAAAATTAAATCTAAAAGAAATACTCAAGAGTTAATAGGACGAAACAGAGGAGTGGGAAATAGTTTCATCTTTTGCATTTTCTAGAAATAAATCTCCCTTATTCAAACCAATAAAGGCACATAATTTGAATATCATTAAGTTGCTATTACAATTACTGAAACCATAAAGAACATCTCTCTCTTATTTGTTCTAGAATACAGCATGAAAAAGGTATGTGCTGGGGCTGGAGATGTAGCTTAGCAGTATAGTACTTTTTTAACATGGCCAAAACCATGGGTTTGATCCCCAGCATTACTATAAAAAAAAGTTGTATGCTACAGTAGTTTTCAAAATATTAAGTACTTACATTTACCTTCTGGGAAAAAAGTCATTCTTGACCCTTCCAGAAATAAGAATTTTTTTTATATTTTTTTATTTGGATGTTAATATTGAGGACCATCAAGATATTAATGCTTACAGGAAAAATTCCTCTAAATAATATGTTTTATAATTTTTATTTTAGCATCATAATTACCTACCCCAATTATATATTCATAATTAATTAATTAATTAATATAAATGGGTCTGAAACCAGTACAGGAGACATTGGAAATTACTGGTTGTGAATAGCAGCATTTCAAAGGAATGTAGGAAAGAGACAAAATATATCTACAGCTCAGGTTTTTCTAAATGTAGAATGGAAAATTGTGAACTGGAATTCTTTTAGTTTTAGCTTAAATGCTGTTAAAATTGTTGTATGGAACATGTTTTAAGCCTACTTTTACATAGGTAAATACAAATTAATCATGTAGCAAAATTATATTTCTATATTTTATAATTACAATTACTACTTTATTATTTTAGTTATTCATTTAACTCTTATTTCTAGTGAGATCAGTTTTATGATTTAATGAGGAAATTTTTAAATAGGAGACTAAATTTAAGTTGTAAAGTAATGAAGGATGCAGTACAAAATATATATACAGGCCTGGTGATTTTCTTCATAATATCTACTTTGAACATTTCATTATGAGGATAATAGTAGACAAGGATGTATAGAAGCATGGGGGAAGGAGAGGAACTATTTTCCTTGTCTCCTTCCCCTTTACCTCCACTCACCCCATGTGGCGCAAGATCTACAAGGCTAAAGAAGAACAGGGTATTCCAGTCAGTGACAAGGTCTACGTTTGGAGGTAATTATATAATAGACTTTTTAAAGGATTATATAAGCCAGGGTTTACCTGTAATCCTTTAATGTCTTGTGATGTTAGATGTACCATTCTTATTAATTGTGAACTTTTCAAATGTATATCACATCTACTTATCTAAGTTACTAGATATAAAGGATAAAATATTGAACTTTATAGACTTCAAAATACCTGGCACAACAAACTATGCACACATTAACTACATATTCATAACATGAATGAATTTTGAATTTGCAGACGTAGAAAAAAAACCAAAGCTATCATGAAATATGTCTGGGAATATGTTGGTAACAAGGTTGACAAATATAGATCTATTCTTTTATTTTCTTTTTTTGAAATTCTAGGGATCAAACCCAAGAACTTGTACATGAGAGGCAAGTGCTCTACTGCAAAGCAATGTCCCCAGGCCACATATAGAGATTTAATTAATTCACTGAAATTTCAAGATATCTTCTAGTATATGAATATGCTATATTTTATGTATATATCCTCTGTTAATTAACATTTAGCTTTCAATTTTGCCTATTATAAAAAATGGTCTAATAAAAATCTTAGAACAGATCTGCCCATGTGGCCAAAATGTAGGGGGAATCCTGGGGCACAAAGTATATACAACATCTTTTCAACCAATTAGGTATTGCCATATTGTTCTTAAAAGGTAGTTAGTATTAGTGCATTAATCTAAGAAACGGAGGGACATGACTCTATTTTTCTCTGATATACACAAATATTTGCTTATATTATAGAAACAAACAATGGAAAAAATGAATGATTCAATTAATTAAAAAGTCATCCATGGTGGGAGTGAAGAGATAAGATGTGGGGGACAAGGATAGAAGATAAAATTCATTAAATATATATTCTTTTGCATATTTGACTTTGGAACCATGTAAATAATTAATCAAATTATAAAACAAAACTACATACTTATTTAAGGAAAGCAATATCTAAACATTAAAATAAAAGAGGTGAACCTAAATGTCTATCCAGTAGATGGTAGAAACTTACAGAAGAGTATGAGTGATTTTTAAGCTATAATAATTTGATTGTACATCTTTAGTGGGGTATAGAACTTAAAAGAATTGCAACAAAACAAACCTTAAAATAAGTATTCTGAGGTTGTTTTTATATGTGTTGGGTTAATGCAAATAAGTTATTATCTGATATTCTATCATCCCTAGGGTTTTAAGAACCAGGATTCTTACAGTAGGAAAAAAAGTATTTTATTATTTCCTAAGTGGAAGTTATTTAGTTGTGAATTTGAATATGAAATACAAATGTGAAATCATTACACATTTTGTCTTAATTGACCAACCAACTAACAACCAATCAATCAGAGCAGCATATTTTCTAGTTCTGTCCACTGCAAAGGCTTAGAGATAATAACTAGGCTAGTATAAATGAGTACACATAATGCCCAATCTTTAGTCTCTTAAGTATGAGAGCTCTGTGGAGAAATGTCTGATTCCATTTCTGGGTAAAAAATAATCAAGATAAGCCTGGAAATATGATGTCAAACAAGACAGCAAACAAGCAAACAAAAAAAGAAAACCAACTATGGAACATTACTAAGGTCATATTAGAAGCACTCATAAGGGCTGTGTTTGTAACTCAGTGGTAGAGCACTTGCCTAGCATGTGTGAGGCACTGTGTTTGATCCTCAGCACCACATAGAAAAATAAAGAAATAAAATAAAGGTATTGTGTCTATCTATAATTAAAAATATCTCAAAAAGCACTCAAGCAAAAATGAATGGTTTCCTAATTCATCAAAGATGGAATAATGTGAGCAACAATGAGGGTGGTAACTGCAATAGGAAATAAAAAACTCAGTATGTTTAAATCCATGAGTTTATAATATTAAAAACACCAAAACAACAATGACA